TGTGTTCATAATGATTCAGCTGGAACACCAATTTGCTGTTGAACACTTTCACTGTTAGTGCGGTTAAAGATTTATTTTCAGAGAAAAGCATCTGCAAATAATGCAGCGTGATTGTGGAGCCAGTGAGCAGCAGCCTGCTCTGCTAAACAGCTCCAGTCCTTTGCTAGGATCTTACAGGAGATTTATTTGATTTTATACACCACAATAAAACTAAGTGCCAGGGGATGGAAGTCACAGAAGATATTTTTGCAGGCAGCTGTGGGGATGCACCAGGCTGGGACTCCGTGCTGGCTCCCGGCGAAGCCCTGTCCCTCTCCTGCCATGTGTCCAAGGGCTAATCCAGGAGTGGCTTCAGCTTCCTCAGAGAGCCCCTCTGCGCTGCAGATGTGGGTGCAGCCACACTCAGATCAGCTGCTCTGCTTCTGGGCCTGCTGCAAGGTGGTGCTGGGGATCTGGGAGGCAAAGGGGAGCTGCCTGCAGGATCCGGGGTGTCCCTTCACCATCTGCCTGATAAACACACCCCTCTGAAGAACCACCTGGTGCTCCTAAGAGTGTCTGCTGAGAGGAGAAGGTGCTGACAGCTCTTGGATGGGTGACCCTGAAGATCCTGAACTTCTCTGGTGTCTGTGACCGATGACATTTTTGGGAGGCTGCTGCCCTTGACACCATGGAGGTTTGTGTGTGAGCAGTACACTCAATGCAGACATGAAATCCTGCTTGGATGCTCTGGTTGTTCCAGAAACAGCTCATGTTGTATTTCCTGTTGCAGTGGGTATAAATTTGCTTCATCATCCTCTCAGTATGATCTCGGAGACAGAAATATAAACAGTGACAAGACTGTTTGGACTAAGATGTCCATCTTGGGCCTTGGAGTGTGTGGCCCCTGGCCTTCTCCAGTCTTGTGTGAACAGGTTCTTTAAAAATTCAGAGCTGCAGTTTTTGCTCTTTCTGAGTATTCTTTAACTGTGCTTCAAGTGGTAGTAAAAAAAGTCAGTATTATTCAGTAATAAACCGAATTTGCTTTGAATGACAAAAACTGTGTATAATTAAAGGAACCTGAATTTGGGGATATAACCAAGAAAAACCCTGCTTATGCCAAAATATCCCATGATGCTTCAAGAAAATGAAACATAAACAAGGATTGAATTTTAACCTATTATATCTTTAATTCCTGCTTAAAAGAGAAAAATCCCATTTGAACAAAAGAACGTATCTCTATTGAGAAATGAAGTGCTCTATGTTTACATTTTTTATGAAATGAGGAGTGAAGTCATTGCACTGCATTCTCTTTTGCTTGACTGACATTTGATTTCACACTTTTTAGTTGACTCGAGTTGTACTTTCCATAAAAAAAAAAAAAAGATTCGTTTTCCCTTGCATAATTAAAAACTATTGCTTCCCTTGGATCTTCAGCCAAGGGTTGATTAGTTTATTTTTTTTTTCCTCTTTTTCATTTTCTTTTAATTTTTTTTATGTTACAGACTCTTCAGGCAAGATTTTTAATTTTTTGGGGGGGTTTTCTTTCTTTCTTAGACTCTAAAGTTGCCCTGAACTGCATGGAATTTTTGAGAGCAGTTGAGACTGCCATCTTTAAATCATTGGAGCACAAAGAGAGCAGAAGCAGATGTTATAAAACACTTTGATCTCTGTTATGCCAAGAAATGTGGTAGTGGTGACCTGGGCAAGCTCTCACAAAGGCCCTAAACACAGAAATAGTTTAGAAGAGTTCTGACTGGCACTTGGAGCATCAGGATACAGGAAACAACTGCATTTTAAGATGAGAAAGCCCATCCAGTTCTTGTTAGCTTTTATTTTTCCTCCTGACTAGGGAAATATTCTTCTGTGTTGTGGAGGTTTTTCACCTACTGGTGTTAGCTCAGCACTGCCAGAGCTGGGGCAGGACAGTGCACAGCCCAACATCTGCAGCAGAGGGCTTTGGTTTTTGGTGGTTTGGGGGGGTTTTTTGTGGGTTTTTTTTGTTTGATTTTTTTGTTTGTTTTCAAAGAGCCGAGCTCTCAAGTGCTGCACATCAGAGCTGAGTGTGTTATTCCTGAAGGTGCACCAGGCACTCAGGCTGTAACACCCTGCACTTGATGTTTGGCTGGCAGAGGCCAGGAGTGGAAGCACTAAATCCTGCCCTAAGAACTGCTAATGCCTGTTGACATAAATGAGTATTGAGGGTTCTCAGCAGCACTGAACCTACACTGCCACTGCCAGAGGCCAACTTTAAACAACTCCATTTTATTCCTACTTATGTCCCCAGCCTGGAATTTGGATATAAGCTATTGTTGTTATTTCATAAATTGTATTTTAAAAGGGAGGCTTCCTTGCTTCTGATTTATTTCATCTTCATGTCTGCTGTCTTCACAGGGGCTTCAGCAAACTGTTCTCATAAATGATTTCAGATGATTTCAGGATATTTTATTGTCATTTTCTCTGGTGAACCAGGAACATAATATTCTTCGTCTCTGTGGAGGAATTCTAGGCAGAGCAAATAATTCATCTCTCTGCAGAATAATTTTATTATTGTTTCTATTGCAGAAAGTTACAATTGCCCTATTTTTAGAAATTACATAAACTAAATCTGAAGAGGTTTTCTTAGAAGCACAATAAAAGAAGGAATGGATTTTAAAACCAGTATTCACACACTAGAAGAAGGGCTGTATCTGTTTTCTAAAATTAGATGCTGTGAAATATGGTGAGAATTAAGTGAGTGCAGAATCTCTGCTGCTGTATCCCATGTTTGGGTTAGGCAGTGATACTCCATCCCCCTGTACTCATACACTTGGAGGAAGCCAGAATGCGTTGATACTGTTGTAAACACAGTGAACTGATCTTCTTCAATGCATCAATATTGGGAAAAATAGCAGAAGGGGTTCTGTGATATGAATCCTGTTGTCACTGAGCAGGTTTGTGTAGTCAGGTATTTTTATAGAGCTCTTGTGCAGAAACAGAATAGAAAAATTAAATATTAACAGTGGCATTTGGAGTGAGTGGCCAAAGCGTGGTGTCGCAGGAGTGTGTGGAGAAGCAGCTGAAATGTCTCTGTCCCTTGGAGGATGTTGATCATTGGTAAGAGATGCCCCAAGTACAATCAGCACGAAGCCAGCTGTGAGCTGTGTGTGTTTACAGCAGCCAGGCAGCAGCTGAAACACACACCTGCTTGTTGGCTTTGGAGCTCTGCTTATTTTCATAGCTTGTGGCCATGGCAGAGGCTCCCTGCCAGAAAAAGTTAAATGTAGAATATCCAAGAATTTAGCCGAACAATGAGTTCTGTCTTTGCATGGATGAGAATATTTGCATGGCACAAAAGTGCTCCCATTGGAAATGCTGATAAAATTATAACCAAGCTTGTGCAGATTTCTCTTCTGATCCCTTCTTGGTATTGGGGTTTGAACAGAATGATTAGGAAAAATACATGAAAGGAGAAATTCTTGCTGTAATTTTTTTTTTAGATTTAATAGTGTGGAATACGCACTTGGACTGCTTACTTCCTGGAGTATTTGAGGAAATTTCAGTGCTCATTAGGATTTTACAAACTGTGGAGGCTTCATGAGATTCTTAAAACCCTTGTGAGACAGAATGATAAAAGTTTTAATTTCCTTTCTCCCAGTCTTATTATAATTGTATTAGACTATATGGATATAATAATAATAGTATATATGCAACAATCTTAATTGCATATACATATATAAATGAGGATTTATATCAGAATTGAGTAATTGTGATGGAACATTTGAAATGGAAAGTACAACTTTTTAATTTGATCAATAAGGCCACAAAGCTGAAAAAAGTTAACTGCTGTGATATTGGAGGACATTTTAGGAAATTCTAGAAGTTTGTGTGAAGTAGGGTAGAATGTGCTTTCATCTCAGCTGTAAGAAGAATGTGATTAATTAAAATGTTATATATATTTCCATTACTTGTAAAAGTGCCAGTGAACAGCCATTGATGCTTGCAAAAGCGTAACTGTTTTGTATCCCAGAAAGCAATTGCCTGCTGCTTCTTCCTCCAAACAGCACTTGTGAATGATGCATTAGAATATGTAATTTGATATGCTCTGGACTGAAAAATGCCAGAACTAAGTGTTGAGTCTGAGTGAAGAGATGTAAATGGCTGGAAGATGCTCAAAGTTTCTGATTTGGTTGCCTGGAAGTGTAAAAGTACAAAAAAAAATCTAGTTTTCTATGAGGAATATTCTCATCATTCAGGTAATGCCGAGGATTCTTGCATCCCTCTAAATCCATGGCAGAGACTGGAAATGTGAGTGTTCAGAGCAAGGTAAAATTGCAAGAGGTTGAGCACCATGAGATGAGAGAGAAAAGGAATGTTTGGCAGGGCTGGTGTAGCTGTGGCTCCCAAAGCAGTGGTGTTAGTGTGTGCTCCCTCCTTCTGCAGGCATTGAAATTATTTCTTCTCTTTCCCCTTGTGATTTTCCTTTAATCATTCCTCAGAATTTAGGATAGATGTTCTGATCTTAAACCCTCTTCTCTTCAGGCTGTTGAATTCATGTAACCTTGGTTGCTCAGCCAGGCCACGATATTTTCATTTTCTCTTATGCAATAACCTGTTTTCCAGCTTTCTCTCTTTGTCCATGTCTGCCCTTCCCTCAGCAGTGTGGGGACAGGAGCTGGAAAAGGAGTGTTTTACCGAAAAGCAGCCTTTTTTACAGCAGCACTTTTGCTCTTGTGCCATGTGGGGAATCCACACAGGAGCTGTAGTCATTTGCTGCCAAGGCCTGGATGAGTTTACCTGGTTTCTGTGGTGGGATATGGACACACAACCAACCACAGTTTGGTTGAAACAACCTTAAATCCAAATTGCACAACTTATCATCGAGAGTCTGTAAACAGCAATTGTAGCGTGCCAGCGCTGCAGGATCATGTCCAGGGAGGCTGCAGTTAACACTGACTCCAACAAGATGGGCTTCTGCTCAGGAAAACATTTATTCAGCACAGGAGCAAACTCAGATCCAGAGACAAAGAGCCCAGAACAGAGGCAGGGTGATGGGTTTTGTGGGACAGAACCAGGGTGGAGTTTAAGGTCAGGACTAATAGGGACAGAGCAAGGGAGAAACCCCAGGGCTCAAACCCCATCAGAGATCCCTGGGCTGCCACCCCATGAGGGGTCCGGGCTGGAGTTTCACTCCAGGCTCCCAGGGCCCATCCCCTGAGGCAGAGGAATGGAATTCACTCTTCCTGGGCTTTAAAACCACACCTCTCACTTGAGCAATGCTTATCTAAAACTAAATCCTTGCCTCCCTGGGCGGGGGCACTCACAAGCCATTTCTCTCTGAGGCAGCCTGACATTGTAGGCCCCAGCCGGATCCAGGCCTCTGTGTCCTCAGTCATGTTGCCACTTCCGATTGATAGGTTCTGTGTTAATTTTATCTTTAAAAAACAAGTTGTTTTGGGTTTGTTTTTTTTAAAGCAAAGTTGAGTATTATTTAATATCACTTTATTTCAGGGGAAGGAGTGGATTTCTGAAGCTGGTTCAGGCTGAGCATGGGGCTGGCAGAGCTGCGGGACAGCAGCAGAGCGGGCAGGATGCTGAGGTTTGGGATGTACAGAGGACAGGGATTGTTGGGATGTGCAGAGGACAGGGATTGTTGGGATGTGCAGAGGGCAGGGATTATTGGGATGTGCAGAGGGCAGGGATTATTGGGATGTACAGAGGGCAGGGATTGTTGGGATGTGCAGAGGGCAGGGATTATTGGGATGTGCAGAGGACAGGGATTGTTGGGATGTACAGAGGGCAGGGATTATTGGGATGTGTGGAGGGCAGGGATTGTTGGGATGTGCGGAGGACAGGGATTGTTGCTGTGCCTGAGCCCATCACATCTGGGTGCCACCAGCAGGGAGAGCGCCAAGAGGCCCAGCAGCACCTGCATGGGGGATCTGCAGCACCGAACAGCCTCCAGGAGAAACAAAGGGAGCAGTTCCCAATAGAAACCCTCTCCCAGGGCGAGGCAACTGAGCCAGGATCCCACCGTGCATCACTTTGTGAGATGTTCCGAAGCTGGATGGGTTTTTAAAGCTTTACATATTCTCTTTACAGTCACAAATAATATCTTGAGTTCAGCATTCGTTCAGGTTTATGTAGCTTTGTAAAGATGTTTTGTTTCTGAGATACTCAATAGGGTGAGAGGGAGATTTGCAGACAGAAAAGATGAGGGTGTTTTTTTGAGGGAGGAGCTTTTTAATGTTTTTAGCCTTGGGCTATGAAGTACTGGAAGTGGTGCAGAATTCTTTTTATTTTTACTTATTTTTATCTGTGCGCCAGGCACTCGTCCATGCTGTCTGCCCTGCCAAAAAGGCTTCAGCACTAATGTGACAGACCACCCTGCCCGTGGGTGAGGTGTGTAATTCTTTCTTGGAGCAGAGATCTCGAGCAGAGGCTGCTTGTTATGTTGAAGTGCATGTGGTTTTCTCACACGAGTTACTTGGCAGTCCAGAGAAAATATTAAACTCCACTTAACTTGGAAAGACCAGGAGGTCTGAAATGCATAGTAAAAAATGTCTGCATTTCATTTTTTCTCCTCGATCTCTTATGGAAAGTCTTGGCAATGGTGAAGAGAGATCTTCCCTCACTCTGAAGTACATCCCCATCTTTCAGTGTTCTAACCTGTCTGGGTCAGGAATGGCTGCTGGCATTTGTTTAAGAATTTTCTTTTTTTCTCGTGGTTGCATATTGAATTTATAAATAGAAATTAAAATGACTAGTATTAAGAAGGAACTAAACCCCCAAACCCAAAGTTTGGTCCTGGGAACTACTGGAAAAGCCTATTCTCCATTTTTACAGGTGGCCCTTGGGTCTGCTTGTGCCACACAATTTTCAAAAATGTATTTTTCACATTAAAAGTATGAACTTTGCCAGCATCAGTATTAGTATTTGTTATTATGAGAGAGTAATTTTTTTCATTTGTAGCTTTCATTAAAGGTCATAAATTAAAGTTTTTAAAGCCTCTTCCCCATTAAAACAAACAACTTACAGACTATAAGACATATTTAATTATTGGAAATTATTAAAAATTTTCTCCTCTAAGGATTTTATTTCTTTAATCAAAATTCCTACTGACAATAATGGAAATTTTTCTTCTTATGTGGATAGCCATTTAAACAAATGATGAATATTTACCTTTTTCCTTTCTACTTTTATAATAATATTGATATTAGAACGCAGTTTGGAAAAGTGTTCAATTTACAGGATTATTTTAGTCAGAATTGTGCCATTGTGCTCTGAACACTTGTGAGAAAGTGAGGGCTGTTGATGTTCCCGTTCTGGCCATTCCCTTGCTGCAGCAGGCTGAGGAAGGAGCTGGGCTTTGCACCTGTGTAAAGGGATGGGGATTGGGATGGGGATTGGGATGGGGATGGGGATGGGGATGGGGATGGGGATGGGGATTGGGATGGGAACAGGAATGGGGATGGCTGTGTGAGGGGCAAGGAGAGAAATCCCCTGCACTTAGACAGGACAAAACACAAAGCAAAGGAGGGTCCAGGGGAGCAGGGGTCAGGCAGGTCTGACTCTCCAACGCTCGGCAGCTTTCCAGGAGTTCACAGCTTAGACCCAAAATCCTTGCAGGAGCAATCCCAGCGTGTTCTTGCTCGTGCTGCTCTGGGAGCCTGTTTGTTGTTCTGCAAGTTTTCTGTGCTGCCTCTCCCAGTGCGCCTGGAAAGCAGCCTCAATGTGGAGCTCCAGATGTTTCGAACAAAACTGTGATTTGGGCTCCATGCAAAACAAACAAGCCCCTCTCTGAGTCACTGGCTGTCAGTAAAGCTTCTCAGCAACCAGGCTACTGCAGGGCACCTCTTGAAATTAAATCCTTCATGCCTTGATTAGTTCTTTGTGTGTTACACTTGTTTGGAAAGTTCTCCTCTTGCCAGCCTGGTGTGTTGCAAGATTTCTCCCTCTCAGACCCAGAGAGGGCTCTGAGACTGCTCCTGGTGCTCAGTTGTTCCCAGAGCCAGTGCTGAGCCACAGGACAGCCACCTCTGGAACTCCTGTGGCCACAGTGGATGGAGCAGAGAGCTCGTGAGCAAAATGCCTTTGGATTTCAATAGCAGGGAGCTGAATTTTGAATCTCAAGGAGAATAATAGGAAAAACAGCTGCATAATCTCCTAGCACTTGGTGTACAAGCATTCATTTTAAAAATGAAAAATTACCATTTCATCAAACTGACATAAAATTGGCTTGTCAAGCACTGAAAATAAAATGTGTTTTTCCTTTATTTCTCATTCCTTTTAGTTTTTCATGATGCAGTTCAGTTTTCAGCCTTTCCTTGTGAAAAAACAACCACTCCTAGAATTTTTATGAAAGTGAAAGCCGTCAATTTCATGTGAATTCACAACTCCTGAAATGGAGGTTTTTAGCCATCAGCCAGCAAGACTTGTTATGGACTGGCTGTCTGTACCCAGCAGGTCTCGGAGCAGTCTGGCTGTGGGTTCTCTTCCTACTCCAGATGAATCAACCTGGTTCATTAGAACTGTTAAAAAGCAAACAGCTCCAACGTGTGCTAAGAAGCCAAGACTACGGAGCACAGGAATTGGAATGAATAAACAGCAAGCAGTTGAGCTTTGATGTAGATAGATATGCCTCTAGGAATCTCCAGCTGTCTCTGAATTCCCTGTTTAATCCACTGTATGTGTTTGAAATAATGCAACAACCTAAATATTTGGGTGTTGCATTTTAACCATCGTGCTTTCACTGGGTTTTGGAATATATGCTTTCATATGGAGCATTTGAATATAAAGTGCAGTCATGTTCTTGATGTGTTGAATGGAAAATGTATTTGTAATCTGCCATAGAAATAATGATGTGTCCAGATGTGGATATCGAGTACCACTGAACTCCTGCTGCATTGTACAAACTTCAAACACCAGGGCTGCTACAGAAAAGGGAAGCAGGTTTGTGAACAAGTTATTCCCCTCCCTTTGCTTGGTCAGACTACACCCAGTGCTCATGTCCTTCCCAATCCTCATCCTCTGTGGCACTGCCCTGACATGGTGCCCATGGAGAAGTCCCCAGGACTATCTCCAGGATTTCCACAGCTGGAGATGTGCAGGACCTGGACTGTGGCATCTTTTATCTTGGTTCATTACCTGTGCACCTCAGTTCACATCCTGGGTCAGCACTTCATTTCTAATCTTCCCCCTGTACTCAGCTATGGAGGATAGACAGGTGGAAGAATCAATAGAATACATCCCATTTTAGGGAACTTCAATAGATCCTGTTTGAGTGACTTTAAGTTTTTTTAGAGGGAGCAGGTGATTCTGTGGTTGTTAAAGATTTCTGGAATAAAAATGGGTACCCATGGGTACCCATGGGCTGCTGGAATGCCCTTGCCTTGATGCAAACCTGGGAAAATCAGTTCTGATCTGCTGCCATCAAAATTAATTCATAAGGACTTGTTTGCTGCCTTCTCTGTGTTAATACTGATGGGATTTTTTACAAGCATTTCCCAAAACTAGGGCGTTGTACAACACTGGGTGGTCTAACACTGAGGCATGCGATTTTTAACTCTTCCTGGGTTTCCTGCAGTTGAAAATGGTGCTATTTATTTGAAAGCAGCCTGAGTTGGGTTTGGCGAAGGCGCTGGATCTGTTATGATATACACTGCTAAACAGAGCTACAGAATTCCAGCCAGCGGCCCTGTTTGCAGAGGTGGGGATTTTGTTGGAGTAGAATTTTATTAAATTTACAGAATAAATTTAATTAAAAGCTAGTAATTTCTAACATCTTATTTACAGTGTGTACAGATTTAATGCATTGATAGCTTTTAAATTGCACTTGGCAATTTGTTGAAGTAATTTACTTTGTAATTATTTCATGATTGCTAACACTTTGGTGCCATGCCACTGTCTTTAAAATTTTGTTGTTAGCTTTGTGACTCTCTGATCTTCATACCACTTTGTGTATGATAGTTCTTCATACACTCTTCTAATCTTTGACTTTGTTCTAACTTAGACTTTATTCTATCTTCCTTTGCTCTACTTTTGTCTCTTCCTGATCCATCTGTGTGTGGCCAGCCTAAGAGAAAAAATTCAACTTAATATGTTGTTTTGGACCAGTCTGTGGACTGTTTAGATGGACAGAATTTCTGTGCTGCTTTTTACAAAGCAATATTATTTCCTATGCCACAGGTACTTTCAAGGGCAAAGGGTTGTCCCCAAAGTGCTCCAGTCTATAGGATTACAGAAGTAAGGATGTTTGTGTAGAAATTCACTTGAAATTCACTTGAGTGATCAAGGTACACGTTATGTCACCTGTTCCCCGTGACAAAAATGATCCTCACCTTTAATGATAAGTTCAGTTCACTTAGTTCCAAGTGGATTTTAGGTGCAGTTCTGGGCTCCCTTACTCAGCAGCAGCTTCTGCCTCTACCCCCAGCTGCTGCTGGAGGAGGCTGCTCTGTGTGCCTGGACAGGAGCAGTGGCCAGGCTTGCACGTGTGCTCAGGGGGAGCTGGAGCCTGGGTGGAAAGTGAAGTGAGGCCAGATGGAAGTGCTGTTAAATATCCTGAGTAGCCCAAGTCTTAAAAGCTCTGTTTTCTTTGTAAATCTTTCCTGCAATTCCTTCAGCTTGGGGAATGTATCCCCAGTGTTGTTTAGTGCAGTCACCAGTAACAGATGTGTTTGCAGCCTGAGCCAGGCATGGCCCGTGGGGCTGTTCTGCTCCTTGGCAGTGACAAGTTTGTACCGGACTTTGGTGAAGGTGTGTTTTCCTGGTTAGACAAATACCAGTGGCATTTGGGCAACGCTGGGCCTTCTCAGTGCTGCTGACCTCAGATAGCACTCCTGCTTCAGACCCAGGCTGGGCTTGTTTATCTCTCAGCTCACAGGGTGCCTTTTACTACTGTGTCTGCTGCTTGTCTTGAAAAGGAAACTTGAAGTGGTGTTGCTTGCTTTTCCTCTGGCTCACACTTCAGTCTCAGCCTTGTTATTCTTAAACATACTTCAGAAAACTGCTATAAGGCTTGTACAAATCTGCAATGGTTTGTGGGCTTATCTCGGATGTATACTTTAGTTTGAAGTATGTGAGATCTCTTCTTGCCCGTTCTCCACCAGATTTAAAAGTTACAGCTTGAAAAGTGACTGTTGGTAATGGCAATTTATAACAGCCTGTGTCCTGGAGCATAATTTATGATGAAAAAAGCAGAGGATTTAGCAAGTTTAAAGCCTCCCTGTCTGTTGCTCTGTTTTAGGCATTGTGATAATCTAGCATATGCTTAGTTAGTCACTGCTTCAAATGGAGATGAATTTCAGCTTTGGTACCTAATGTCTTTTGCAGACAGCTTAGGTAATGTTGCCTTGTGAGGTTCAGTGTGTTCTTACATTTGCCATGGCTACAGAGAGGAGGGAGATACCTGATGTTCATTTTGTTTTTGCTGTGGAACACAGATTGTTGTTTGACCAGAACCACGTGCAGGGATCAGATGGAATGTCTCCTGTCAGGCTTTTTGGTCGCTGTGGGGTCCTGGGGTGGATGTGAAGTGTGGACCTCACTCATTACACTACACTGAGCCCTGCTCTCTTCTGCTCTGATAAGACAATGTCTGGGATAGGTTTGCTGAGCAGTCTGGGTCCCACATGGTGCCTGTGGGGACCTGGCTCCTGCTGCCCTGCTGCTTCTTGTCCCTGTACCATGAGGAGGCTGAAGGTCAGGGCCTGGCATCGCTGTGTGGCTGCAGCTGTGGCCTGCCCTGTGTCCCTTGTTTCTGGTCAGCCCTAGGTGTGCTCCGTGTCCCTCCCCTCTGACACCAGGCTCTGCTTTGCCAGCACCTCTGCACAGCTTGGGGGGCAGCGCCTGCGCGTTGCTGAGGGTGGGCAGGGAACTGGTTCTGCAGAAGTCGTTCCTTGGATCCATTCTGGGAGAAGGGCAGATGTGTGTGCACCTCCTTAGTGATCACTGCTGTACAGGACTGACCTT